CACACTTGACTCTACCACACTTGACTCTACGACACTTGACTCTACGACACTTGACTTTACCACACTTGACTCTACGACACTCTCTTTAGACTCTCTATAGACTCTCTATAGCCGACACTCATGGCCCCAAAACTCATGGCTAATGATGCTTTCGGGCCACTCGTCTTCTAGTTTTTCAGCTCCTCCCTAAAAGAAATCAAAAGCACAGAGCAGCTTTTGACGTCTCAAAGCCGGCTGAGCCTGAGAGGCTCTCAGCGACTCGCAGATCGCTGCGATGGCTCGGGATCCGCTGCTGGAGGCCCCGCCCCGGGCCTGCCAGATTTCCTTCTGGGACTTCTTGGTGCTACCCTCTACGATCTCGTGTTCTATAGAACTTCGAAGCCGTGATGCATCAACTCTGTGGCTAAACAGGCATGCACCGCACCGTGGAATAACACAGCCTCAACCCTTACTCCATGATTCCAAAAAGATGTCTTGGACCGAAGAGTCGAAAGCCCTCGCAAAGCTACAAATCGAAGCCTCAACTGCCTCCGAGTCGGTTTGAAGGCGAGCGCAGGGTTTGGAATCACCCAAACCAAGACTCCTGGGAGTCGGGAACTTGTGGAATGGTTGTAGTTGTTTATGATTCTTGCTGTCAGCTCTTGGAGCGTTGTACCTGTAAACGTTTCACTGTAGGGTTTCGAGGGTTGCCAGCAGGGTTGATCACTGTGCATGCATGGTTGGCACCCCAAGCCTCTTCACATCACGCTGCAGGCTGTTCTGGATGCCGGGAGTTCAGGCAGGATCCCTATTCCTCAACCCCCACACCCAACCATACCACCGACAAAATCAAGCCGTGCCGACGCGATGGATTGTAATCGTACATGAACTCCATGGCGTTTGACTGCAGGGCGTTGCCTGGTCGTGAGAGTGTTCAGCCGTATACTTTCGAAGCTTGGGCTCTGGGATTACACGCTGCTTTGTGGCTGTATCCTACAATTCGGTCATCGAGTCTGGGGCAGCGTTCTCCTGAAATCCTGGCCCATGCAGCAGGCTGATTCCCCCACGTCTTAATTTTCGTAACCTACCTACCTACCTACCTACCTACCTACCTACCTACTTACCTACCTACCTACAGACCTGCCCCCATAAGTGCTACGGACATATATACATCGACGTACATGTGTACATGCGCACAAATGCCTGCCGCTATCCTTGCTACTTACATACATACATACATACAT